ATTTGGATCACTGCATAACCATGTCAAGGAAGTCCCACGATTGGAGCATAATGTTAAGGGAAAATTGCAGCAGATATCACAAACCTTTCATTTTGTTGCAGAATATACATTAACCTCTTATTTTTGCGGCCACAGTCCCAAACCTTTTATTTTAATGGCAACTGGAGTCCATTGGACGAATTCCATCCAGAATCTCGTTAGTCAACACTGAAATTAGATTTTTTACTCAAATAGACAAATTAAATATAGAGTGTAAAATAGTCAATTTATAATTCTATAATTAAATAATTAAATCAAAAAATTCATCTTCTCCAAACCCCACCCCTCTCTACCCCTACCATGAAACCCGATCAAAATCAACCACATCTGATAACCATGGATTAGCATTATTCAATAGAGCATGTGTTTATAGTCATTTAACTGCACCGAGTGCCCCACCCATGGCTCCCGGAAGGCGGTGCTTAGGCTCCAGGCGATAGTCGATCGAGTAACCATCGTGGGTAGTGTTGAAGATAGTCGGAGGCAGCTGTTGTTACAATTTAGCAACTAATCCAAAACCCACTGCCACTTACTTCGCAATCGACGGCTTTTACCACCCAAATGTGTTGCACTCCACTATGATCAAGCCTATTTGCCAACGCATTGTTCTTGAGAACCTTTTGAATCCCAAAGCACTTGCCTAGAATTTAGCGAGGAACGCAGAGCATACAAAGCAGTTTCACCAATTAGTTTTGATTTTTTTCTTCAGATTTTTTATTTTTGGCGTTACTGTTGGATGAAGTGTAAATGGATCTGCTTCCTCAATTAGATTTGAAGCTTATTGAGGTTGTTGCTAGACAATGAGTAAGAAAAGCAAAATTCTTTGATTGAGGATGGTGTTGATGGAGGACAGTTGGGGTTTTGGGGAAAATTTTGATTGAGGGTGGTGTTGACAGAGGGCATTGGGGATTTTCAACAAACAAAGTAAAATTATTTTATTGAGGGCAGTGGTAGGGCGATGTTGATGTTGGTGTTGATCGTAATAATTCATTGAGTTCTAGTTTTTTTAGTTTGGAGTTGGAAGTGAGGGTTAGGTGATTTGGAGAAGACGAAGTTCATTTTTTATTTTTGTTTTTATTTAACTATTTTATTATAGAAATATAAATTAACCATTTTACCCATCATATAATATTTCAATTTGAGTCAAAATTTCAATTTCAAAGTTAACTAAAGGGATTCTGGATGGAATCCATCCAATAGACTCCGGTTGCCATTAAAGTAAAAGGTTTGGGACTGCAACCGCAAAAATAGAAGGTTATTCTGCAACAAAATGAAAGGTTTGGGACCTCCGCTACAATTTTCCCTAAAAACTTTGCCACCAAAGCGAGGCCAATTCGTGAACAATTTTATTGTCCTCGCGAGACATACAACATATGTTTGACCTCAATTTTTTCAAAACTCATTTTTAATCACA